ACAAGCTTCTGTCCAAGTTTGGTACAAATCCAGGATAGTTCAAGAAAGTTATTAAAATTTTAAAAACTTTAACCACAGAGTGAATGTAATGTTTCCTGGCAGAAAAACTAAGTCCATTTAATAAGTAAAATACGGAAAAAATGGAATTTTTTTTTTACAAAATTTACTTCTGGATACTATCTTATGATCATAAACAAGCTTCTGTCTAGTTTGGTAGAAATCCAGGATAGTTAAAGAAAATTATCAAAATTTTAAAAACTTTAACCACAGAGTGAATGTAATGTTTCCTGTCAGAAAAACTAAGTCCATTTAGAGGTAAATTATCGGGAAAAAAATGGAATTTATTTTTTACAAAATTTACTTCTGGATACTATCTTATGATCATAAACAAGCTTCTGTCCTAGTTTGGTAGAAATCAAGGATAGTTTAAGAAAGTTATTAAAATTTCAAAAACTTTAACCACAGAGTGAATATTTGTGGACGCCGCCGCCGCCGCCGCCGCCGCCGACGACGACGCCGACGGAATGTAGGATCGCTATGTCTTTCTTTTTCGACAAAAGTCGAAGGCTCGACAAAAATGATACAAGACTAACAAAGGCCAGAGGCTCCTGACTTGAGACAGGCGCAAAAATGCGGCGGGGTTAACATGTTTTTTGAGATCTCAACCCTCCCCCTATACCTCTAGCCAATGTAGATCAATGTAGAAAAAACAAACGTACAACAGTACGCACAGTAAAACTCAGTTTAAGAGAAGTCCGAGTCCAATGTCAGAAAAAGAAAAAACAGAAAATAAACAAAATGACAATAATACATAAATAACAACAGTCTACTAGCAGTTACTGACATGCCAGCTCCAGACCTCAATTAAACTGATTGAAAGATTATGTCTTCATTATATGAATATCAGGCATGTATTATCAAAAAACGGATGATTTTGTGCATTTTTCAAACGAAAAAGCTTGAGGAAACCCTTGGCCGCAAATTAGGATCCAAAATGTTCTGTGACTAAAAGTTGCCAATGATGAAATTGAATCCCTAGACACAAAAAATTTCTGGATCATGGATGGAGGCCAAAGTAAATTATGTTGGTAAACTTGACACAGAGATATGTCTTGTTTTTTTAATTTTTTTTATAGTATTATGCAAATGTTGAAATCAAAATGGCAATATTTAAACATGTTAACTTTGCAAAATATTCAAGTCAATGAACCTTGACTGCTAAGGAGCAGGGCAAATTAAGCTCCATGGAAATAATATGTGACAATGCTCAAACAACTGCATACCAAATATCATCGACCTACCACTAGCTGTTCCCCATAAACTGACCTAATCGCAAACTAATACATGTTTACTAAGAAAAATTTCAAAGTCAATAGACCATGACTGAGGGGACGGGTCAAATAATCTCCATGGAAATAATATGTGACAATGCTTATACAACTGCATACCAAATATCATTGACCTAAACTGGACCTAATCACAAACTAGTATATTGTTGACACTGCAACTGACACCGCAACTTATACCACAGTCAGGAACAGTACACCCAAGTCTGTTTTTTTATACTTTGTCAAGGTGAGAAAAAAGCTTTCAAGAATTATTGAAAATTTGACCAAGAATGACATTACAACACAAATAATGCATATTTGAGGGGTCATTCCTTTCTTTTTTAATGTGATGTGCCAAAAAGAAGTTATTTTGTATTAATAGTTAGGATATAACTATTTCTATGTGAAATTTGTAGTATTTTGGCCTGATTAAAAAAAAAACATAAAAATTCTGGCCTTATAGTAGTTTCACCAGATATTTTTTTAAAAAGTTTACAACAAGGGTAGCCACGTGACAATAAAAGCTAATTTTCAGCAGAAAATGCACTACACAATCTTTACCTCCAAACATGGAAGTATTATATTGACAGGAACTCCAACGAAAAATTAGCACATTCCCATCCCACTGATTTCTTTAAGAAAATAAAAGGTTCCGACTCAGTTTGTCAAGTACGTGATAACTCCTTTGTGGGGTATCTGTGATGCCGCCTTCGCCTGTTCTTTTAACTTTAGCTGGTCTTATCACGTGATTTGGTATCGATTGTCTTATCTACCTACCAATGTAAATAAACACGGAAACTCCCGTGGTTATTTGTGAATCGCCACATGAATAACAATACCTGTTTCCGTTCAATAAATGAAGAACAAAGCTGAAAAGATCGAAAAAATCGGTCCATAGTTAACAGAATGACATAAGAAAATTAACTGCATTCGGAAAGAGGGCAAGCTTATTTTTAGTTTTGTTGAGTATGTTTTAATCATTGGAACTTGGAAATCGGGAAATATCCGATTAGGAAAATTACATGATTCTGAAGTAGAGTGTTTGCAAAAAATAATGTGATGCGCGTGTAGTGTGCCGGATGGTGCCGGATAACTCAAATTTAAAGTTAAAGATTGTAAACTTTTATCGAGTGTAACACAAATATTTATGGTTTTCTCTATCGTAAAATATCGTAAAATGTTATTAACTTATTTATCAAATATGTTTTAAAGACTAAAAGAGGTTAATAATTACACGCATGTGATGACCTCTACATAGCAATATCAGGTTACGAGACATGCAGATGAATTGTTACACCTTTTATAATAATTCCAAAGTTGTAAACAACCTTAAACATTCAACCTAGTCCGAGATTACTCTGACGTCTGACAGATTTATTTTTACGGATGGCTTTAAATATTTGTGGATGCATTTAAAGAACGATCACCATGATGGGCCCTAAGCAGTTTATTTTTTTTTTATCATGGAAACCAAATTAGAATTTATTTATGTGTTTAAAAGCTTAACAGTTCTGAAACATCTTACACCGTGTGCTAAGCAATTTATGATTTTGTTTCTTGTTTAATTGCATGAAATATTTGCCATTGGACTTTCAGTAAACAATAAATCAAAATATTTGATATTTTTTCGGATCAAAGCTCTTTAACCCCGTCCCCCCCGGCCAACTTTTGGATTAAATTTTTGTTGGAAATTCTTTCATTAAACACTTCAGTAAAATATTTGTCAAAGTTAGCAGTAAAACGCGATAATAATTACTGATAAAAACTTTTCCGTTTACTTTACATGAGAATTTTATGATTTTCAAGCCTAACTTGTATATAACAGTTACGCGTGTTTAGCCAACGGCACTCTCATGAATAAATCTTACTATTTTAAAATTGATTGTAACTTAAACTGAAATGTTTATGGCTTGTGAGTATTTTTACTCTTCAGTTTTTTTGGTTTTTTTTTGTCTTTTTAATCGGTGAAAACAGTCGCGGGGATTTCGTTTCGTTTCTTTTCTTTTTATTTGTTTTTAAGCAGCAAAACCCGTAAAAACTGACATTATATTTGTCATTCACATGGTCGGTAAATGTCATTTCCTTGACAATTAAGTACACATCCGGTTATTTCGGTATGTTCCGAAATTACGATCATTCACGAGGTTCCAAAAATTTTACCGGAACCCATGCATCCATAAGACAGTCGAGTTAATTAACAGATACTTAACGATTGTGCGGCATCGCACTATAAACGTTTGAAGTCCGCTTGTTGGAGTTCCTGTCAATATAATACTTCCATGCTCCAAATTAGCACATGTGAAACCACATAATTATACAAACTGACCACTAAAAACACAGCAAAAAATCTCATTTGTGTTTAGAGCACAGTGTAGCATGAAGGAACATTAAGACCAAAAAGGAGTTAAAAAAATTATTTTAAACCAAATGTACTCATTGTGTGCTTTGAAAAAATTGTACAATGGTTCACAAGTTTGTAAAACTTGTCTGATCCTATTTATATCCTGGACCTGAAATAAAATAATCATACACTTAACGTAACCAAGTGATTGAAATAAAATCCTGTGAAAAACCCTTCAGAAACCTCTTTCCTGTGACCTGCATTTGCCATCCAGATTTGGCAAACTAGATCTAAGATATCTAGTGATCAGATACACCTAGCTGCTTGCAGAAAACCATCAAAATGAACCTTGAACTGTATTTGATGATCCTTGATATTGTGTACAATTTCAAAGCATCAATTTGGTCAAATTATCCAGAAATTAAAGAAATACCGTTTTTTAAGGTAATCTTAAGGGCATTACTATTGAATGGGAAATGTGAAAAACATCAAAATCTAACTTGACCTGCACTTCATGGTCTATGACATTGTTTTTTTTTCAAGTGTTTGTTCTCAAGCAGTATAGTAAGTACCAGAAAACCAAATTTTTAAGGTATCTTGGGGCACATTTCTCTTGAATGGTAAATGTCAAAACCATATTAAAAGCAAACTAGACCTGTGTTCATTTCAACAGATTTGGTAAAGCAGTATTGTCATGGAAACCCAGATTTTAGCGGTAAATAAGGCATTTCTTGTTCAATGTAAATGTCAAAACAATCAAAATCAAACTTTTCCTGCATTTTATGGTCCATGACATTGCCTTGATATATTTTAATATATGTATATATATATAAAGTGCCTAGAAAATCAACCTAACAATGTTAGAGTAGATCTGATTCTTTACATCCTGCCCGACTGGGTCTGGAACCCTGTACTTTTCAGTTCATACTTCTACGACATCACCTACAACACCGCCTAGCATTGCGCAGACGCCTTATCTCCTTATCTAACTATAGCTGATTATATACTATATATAGTATCATAACTTCTTTCCCTCAAATAAATAGGCTCAACAAAACAAATGTTTGAATTGTTTTACAATTGTCATTTCGGGGGCTTTTATAGCTGACTATGCGGTATGGGTTTTGCTCATTGTTGAAGGCCGTACAGTGACCTATAGTTGTTAATTTCTATGTCATTTGGTCTCTTGTGGAGTGTTGTCTAATTGGCAATCACACCAGATCTTATTTTTATATATTCATACTGCCAATAACCCAGACAGCTTGAAGGACATAGGTTAAATGTATTTAGTGGAAAGAATCCTAACTACTTAAAGAAAAACACAACACAAATTTATGTTTTTTGACTAGCTCGAGTACTGCATATTGTGAGCTGCCGATTTAATAAGACAAATTACACACTATACATTATACAATATGAATTCAATAAGTTATACTAGAAAAATAATCTCATGTCAACCTTTTGCATTTGAAAAACTGAATAATCTCATGTCTACCTTTTGCATTTGAAAAACTGAATAATCTCATGTCAACCTTTTGCATTTGAAAAACTGAATAACTACATTTCAATGTTCCGTGGCCAACCAGGAAAAACCCATTTTAGGAAACCTGTGTCCTTTTGTCAATGCCAGCGAAACTCTAAGTGTAGGACCTCACTCCGGGAAATGAGTAAAAGAAAACATAATTTTGTTTGAATATATGTAAGTAAAAAGAAATCTTGTCATTAGGACTACGGCTATAAAAAATTTGGTACAAAAGTCGAAATACGATTATGTTTGTATAGCCATTCCACCTACATGAAAATTAATTTAAAAAATACAAAATTATGCAAATCTTTGTTCTCTTAAAGATCCTTAAAAAAAATACAATGTTCACAGTACAAATTTCAGTTCACTTTACAACCTAATTTTTGGTGCTAAAATTCCTACGCCTACATGTATTACATGTGTGCAAGAAGACAATCAATTCCTGTTATACTTATATGCCTTGGGAATTTTTTATTATTAAAAACAACATACATGAATATAACTCATAAGCATAAAAATATATGATAGATAACCTAAATAAAATCATTATAACTGCAGGCGACTTAGCCTTAAAAAAGAAGAAAACTATGAAAAAATATTAAAAGAAAGTTAATAACAGAAAGCAAAAGTTATGGTATGATTACAGTCTTAAGAAAATAAAACAAGAACTAGATCATAAATGCAATCGATTGCAAAAGTATAGCAATGACCAATACATTAGAGGGTCATATTTTAAATGCCTAAAACATTACAGAAAAACGAGAAAAGATAAATGTAAGTTAAAAAGTTATTTCGTTAATAAGCTAGATAATCTTAAAAATGAAAATCCTAAAGCCTATTGGAAATTAGTTGAAAAATTAAAAGGAGATAACAATGATAAAAAGGAAACAAATATCAGTTTGGAAGATTGGGAGAATCATTTTAAATCCCTAAATAAAAATACAACTGCTGAAAATGAATCAATTCTACAGGAGCTTAATAATTTAGAAAAAACTAATATTTTTAATGAATTAAGACTTTCAAGATTACAGAGTCTGAACTACTAAAAGCTATTAAATCTTTAAAGAATGGCAAATCCTGTGGATTAAATATGATACTAAATGAAATAATTAAATACTGCCAATCAATTTTTAACCCACTATTTTTAAAAGCTTTTAATAGATTTTTTTCTGCAGGAATCTATCCTAAAATATGGTCAAAGAGAATATTTCAACTATACATAAAAAGGGGTCAATATATGATCCTTCAAACTATAGAGGTATAACAATAAGTGACACTATTGGTCAACTTTTTAACAGAATATTAAATAATAGACTGACAGCCTTTTTTGAGAAGAAAAAACTCATTTGTAAAGAGCAAATTGGATTTAAAAGAGGATGTAGTACATCTGATCATATGTTTGTAATAAATACTCTTATACAAAAATACATTTGAAATAAATCCCAACCATTATATGCATGTTTTGTAGACATTAAACGTGCATTTGACTCTGTATGGCACCTAGGACTTTTCTATAAGCTTAAAAAAACTGGTGTCAGTTCAAAATTTTATAATATACTTAACAAAACAAAATACATTATCATATTCAAAAATATAAATTTGAAACTCTGACTACATGTTTCGGTTCCTAGTGCACCTTCATCAGGATAAAAACCATAGGCTAGTAAAAAAATAGTGAAGTGATAATTTGCATGTCGCAATGTCAACAAGGTGAGTAATTATAAATAGAAAATAAAAGATGATATGAAAGTAAACTTTAAAAAGAATGTTGAATAAAATTTGTGTATTAATAATGTGTTGAATCAACTTTCCAGAGGTTACTGCTTCCAAGTTGGCTTCACCCAGAGTTCATGCTTCTAATTGGCTTTGGTCTGCCAGAGGTTCTACTTCCAATCAGGTTCACCCGACAGAGATGCTCCCAAATGGCTTCGCAACGACAGACGGTACGTGCTTCCAATTAGCTTCACAAATTGTGAAATGCAAATTATCACTTGCGGATTTTGTACTCTTCTGTAGTTTTAGTTCTGATTTAGAATTTATCAAATACATTCTTTAACTGGTTTTAACAAGAGTTATATGAACCATTCCTATTGGAAACCTTTCCTTCAAGTTAGAAAGACCCCAAAGGGTGACTGGGGAATAGAAATATGGTCACGCTTGGTCTTCTTCAGACTGGCAGTGGGGCTTCTGTTTGGAAGTGAAGGATGTATGAATTCGCAGCCATGTCCGATCAGAATGGGGACGTTAAATCCAATGCCTTGTGTAGAGTGCCAAGCTGTATACATGTTAATAACCTTTGCAACAACTCTGAGGGATACGGAGAATTAATCAAACAATTATTTCCTTCAGCCACAGTAATAGTTATCTGAAAAAGAAATAGACACTTTTCAATTTTCTGTCATATTTTAAGAAACTGAAATAGGCAACAAATAGCAAACTGGGAATTACAATTAAAGGAGAGAAACTTTCCAAAATAATCATTTTTCCTTTCCTTAAACTTGACATGTCCTTCCAGAAAACATTAAATTGTAATAAGATTATAAAAACCATGGGAATTTACAAGATCTTAAATAAAAAAAGTTTATAAATCTATATAATAGTTCTTTCTTACCTTTAAAATTCAACTCCAATGGCCATTTCCAACATCAATCTGTAAGGACAAGCTGTAATGCTAACCTGAAATATATAATGCTTAGTCATTCAAAATAGTTAGAAAAGAATCTTTGTTGCTATACTTATGTTCATTATATAGAAATAGGTGATATATAACATATCAAGGTAAAAGACGATGCAGAGAACACATCAATGTGACGAAACCCAACAACACAAACAAATATGACTTCTATGTAATCAATTCAAATCTTTTAAACATTTATATGAGGACTTTGTCCCCAATTACAGTGGGAAAATCAATAAAACAAAAAATAAATATAAAAATAAATATACAAATGTAATCAAAATAATTAACTTTTTCAGTTTCCCGCATTTGTGCAGAAATCTTTTCTCTTCTTGTTTTACAACTCACAATGGCAAACAATCCTACCAAGTTTGAGAGCTTTCTGTCAAATGGTCTTAGGAGTTGCATTCATAAGGTGACACTGTTACAATACTCAAAATAAATAGTCAAAGTCCCATAGAAATGGCCAGGTCTAAATAATGGTATATGGCCTTTTTTAGGCGACCATACGGTATGGGATTTTTCTTATTGTTGAAGGCCATACCGTTGCCTATAATTGCTTTCATCCACTTCATTTGAACTTTGGTGGACAGTTGTCTCATTGGCAATCATACCACATCTCCATATTTTTATAACTATACATGACGGGAAACAATCCCATTACGTATGGGAGCTTTCTGTAAGAGTCTCGAGAGTTGTGGTGTTCAGAAGGTGTTTTATGGTCATAATACTTAAAATTGCAATCAACATCCCATCACTTCTTTAATAATAGTCGAATCAAAATAGTGGTTTATTATGGTCAACTACACATGATGGAAAACAATTTGACCAAGTATGAAGGCTTTCCGTCTAATCCTATATCCCGCTTATCATTGTAATAATAACCCTTGTAATTTCATGTCTCCTCCCAAACTGTTTCCCGCACAATACTTTCCCTTTCCCATGTCACGGTTATAAAAAATCGGCCAATCCCACTTCACACTTGGACCCCCATGAGACCACATGCCAGGCTTCTGTCATAAAAACTCACAGGCGTAACAAAATTCAAGGGCATTTACATAATCTGTAATCAACAAGTTCATAAATCTATGCAAAGGTTCTTTCTTACCTTAAAAGTCAGCTCCAATGATCATTCTAAACCTCAACCCATACTGAAAAGCAGTAATTATTGCTAGCCTGAAAAAGTAAAATGCTTAGTCAATAAAAATTCTTAAAAAATAAATAGAATCAGTGTTGGAATATTGCTTGCATATTATTGTGGATTTCTTTATTGTCTTGGGCACCAATTTATTTTATATTAAGGAACAATTGTATTTTTGTGGGTACTTCTTTTCGTGGTTTTGCCAAAGTCTGCATACAAAAATTAAGTCTTTACAATGACATCTATGTAACCAATTCAAATCTTTAGAACATTTAGTCAAGAAAAAAACAACATTTTACCTCTTACAACTTTAAGCCTTGAGCACATTTTATTTCCTTTAAACTTATTTTATAATAATAAAAGGAGTAGGCCTGGTAAGACCCCTTTTTGGCCCCAAAATATAGCATTTTTACAAATTTGTTAAAATGTAAACTTTTAGCTATTTATTGCAAAGAAGAATACTTCTGTTCCATTAATATGGGCTGATTTTGACAATACAATGCACATGCATCGGGTAATAACATCAGAAATTCATGCAATATTACTGAAATCTTCACAATTTTAGCATTTGTGCTAATTTTACGGTGGTTTTTGTCTAAAATGGAAGTGGCCGCATTTGTGTTCCGTCTTAATATTTAAATATATGTTGTATTTGATGATAATACATAACATATATAAAGGTTGAGACTGAACACAAATGCAGCCACTTTCATTTTAGACAAAAACCATCTGAAAAGTGACATTTTATGAATTATTTGATAGATTTTTCGTATTTAAGCCTCTATTTGAGCGTCTTTAAATAAATGACCAAATCAGTCCAAATCTTTTACATACACTAATTGAATCGACTGAAGTAGACACTTGCGTGTTTAAAAAATGTCAAAAATCTTACATTAGATGTACTTCGAATATTAGGCCAAAACGAGCCCTTACCAGACCTTCTCCTTTGTTTAAATAGAGGAATTATATACCTACTTGTATATTAGAAATATTATACCACCAAGTCTTACTCCCCATTCATGAAAACATTGGCACTAAAGTAACCTAAAAAGGAATTAGAATTGACACAAATTATATATTTTACAAATTTGTTAAATTGCCAACCTAATTTTTTTTTTAAATTCTGTATTCTAATTGCATAATAGTGAGTTATCTCCTACTGAAAGAAACATTCTTGCTGTTTATTGTACTAGTCTCCCCTTGAAGGATAAAATTCTATCTCAGGATTTACTTTTCACGTTATAAAATTTTATTTGTGTACCTGGAAAACATTTATCAAACTGATAAATTATCTATTTCTGTGTGTTGAAAATGTGCAAAATAAGAAAAATGTGTGTTGCCTTATGTACTTTATCACATTTTTCTAGATAATGTGCAGAAATTGGTTGGCTTAAATATACTTGCATTATTTCTTTCATGTCATGGCCTCAGACTTGGGTGAAGATTAATGTAATAATTAATCTTCCTTGGAGCTTCAATATAGAAAGAAAAAACTGGCATTAATGGCAGCGAACATCATTGGTCAATTGCCCTTTTAGACTATATATCATTCATTATTTTCATTTTAAATAGTAATGAAGACAGTTAAATGATATAATAATTATTTCCAAAATTAATGTGTGCTTCGAAGTATCAGAAAATGGTGGCTAAGTTAACCAAAACAATCTGATGTGTACATTTTGAACAGAAAACAATCTAAATCAAGCCATATTTTCCCAATTACTTAAAAAAAAAAAATGCAGATAAATATGTATATATCCAAATTGTCAATGTTAAGCGACTATTTGTTGTAATAATTATTTCAGAAATTAATGTGATGCATGTTTTATGTCAAATCCTAAATTGGGGTATAAGTATATTTAATATTACAATACATTCTTATTAAAATATATTTTACAAGAGTATAAATTTGACAAAGAAATTTTGGACCATTTTGTAATGAAATTTCAAGCAGTTTTTCCAGGAGAAAACTGATTTTAAATACCTAACAAATATTATAATAGTTTAAAGTACAATTGTAATAACCAAATACTTACATGTTATTTATCTCCAATTTTCAATGAAATAATCTTCATCTTCTGCGACTGAAACTTGGTAAGGCCTGCTACTTTAAGCATCTTGTCCTGGTCTTCACCAATGGCTCTATTTTCAGGGTCTATGCTATAAACATCTTCTTCATAGTATCTGATCAAAAACAAAATTATTTTAGACAGCTGCTGGTAAACTCAAATAAAATATACATATATTCAACAGTGAGCCAAAAAAAAAACCAAAACAGTTCAAAAATATCAAACCAAATATAAAACTTTCAATAAAGTTTGCTTATTTAAAAAATAAAACTTTTTTCAAAATATAAAGAAAGAAAAAACTGGCATTAATGGCAGCTAACATCATTGGTCAATTGCTCTTTTTGGCTATATATCATTGGTCAATTGCTCTTTATGACTATATATCATTAACTATTTTCATTTTAAATCTTTATTTTAAACAGTAATAAAGAGGGTTTAATGATATAATCATTATTTTCGAAATTAATGTGTGCCTCAAATTATCACAAGTTGGTGGCTATTCAAAACAATCTGATGTATACACTTGAACAGAAATGATTAAAATTCAACTGAATTTCAAACAATCTAAATCAGGTCATATTTTCCCAATTACTTATAGAAAAATGCAGATGAATATGTAAATTTCCAGGGAAAACTGATTTTAATGACCTAACAAATATGAACATAGTTTTAAGTACAATTATATTGCTTGCATATTATTGTGGATTTATTTATTTTATATTAAAGAACAATTGTATTTTTGTGGGTACTTCATTTCGTGGTTTTGCCAAAGTCTGCATACAAAAATTAAGTCTTTACAATGACATCCATGTAACCATTTCAAATCTTTAGAACATTTAGTCAAGAAAAAAACAACATTTTACCTCTTACAACTTTAAGCCTTGAGCACATTTTATTTCCTTTAAACTTATTTTATGATAATAAAAGGAGTAGGCCTGGTAATACCCCTTTTTGGCCCCAAAATATAGCATTTTTACAAATTTGTTAAAATGTAAACTTTTAGCTATTTATTGCAAAGAAGAATACTTTTGTTCCATTAATATGGGCTGATTTTGACAATACAATGCACATGCATCGTGTAATAACATCAGAAATTCATGCAATATTACTGAAATCTTCACAATTTTAGCATTTGTGCTAATTTTACGGTGGTTTTTGTCTAAAATGGAAGTGGCTGCATTTGTGTTCCGTCTTAATATTTAAATATATGTTGTATTTGATGATAATACATAACATATATAAAGGTTGAGACTGAACACGAATGCGGCCACTTTCATTTTAGACAAAAACCATCTGAAAAGTGACATTTTATGGATTATTTGATAGATTTTTCGTATTTAAGCCTCTATTTGAGCGTCTTTAATGACCAAATCAGTCCAAATCTTTTACATACACTAATTGAATCGACTGAAGTAGACACTTGCGTGTTTAAAAAATGTCAAAAATCTTTCATTAGATGTACTTCGAATATTCGGCCATAACGAGCCCTTACCAGACCTTCTCCTTTGTTTAAATAGAGGAATTATATACCTACTTGTATATTAGAAATATTATACCACCAAGTCTTACTCCCCATTCATGAAAACATTGGCACTAAAATAACCTAAAAAGGAATTAGAATTGACACAAATTATATATTTTACAAATCTGTTAAATTGCCAACCTAAATTTTTCTTTTAAATTCTGTATTCTAATTGCATAATAGTGAGTTATCTCCTACTGAAAGAAACATTCTTGCTGTTTATTGTACTAGTCTCCCCTTGAAGGATAAAATTCTATCTCGGGATTTACTTTTCACGTTATAAAATTTTATTTGTGTACCTGTAAAACATTTTTCAAACTGATAAATTATCTATTTCTGTGTTGTAAATGTGCAAAATAAGAAAAATGTGTGTTGCCTTATGTACTTTATCACATTTTTCTAGATAATGTGCAGAAATTGGTTGGCTTAAATATACTTGCGTTATTTCTTTCATGTCATGGCCTCAGACTTGGGTGAAGATTAATGTAATAATTAATCTTCCTTGGAGCTTCAATATAGAAAGAAAAAACTGGCATTAATGGCAGCGAACATCATTGGTCAATTGCCCTTTTAGACTATATATCATTCATTATTTTCATTTTAAATAGTAATGAAGACAGTTAAATGATATAATAATTATTTCCAAAATTAATGTGTGCTTCGAATTATCAGAAATGGTGGCTAAGTTAACCAAAACAATCTGATGTGTACATTTAGAACAGAAAACAATCTAAATCAAGCCATATTTCCCCAATTACTTAAAAAAAAAAATGCAGATAAATATGTATATATCCAAATTGTCAATGTTAAGCGACTATTTGTTGTAATAATTATTTCAGAAATTAATGTGATGCATGTTTTATGTCAAATCCTAAATTGGGGTATAAGTATATTTAATATTACAATACATTCTTATTAAAATATATTTCACAAGAGTATAAATTTGACAAAGAAATTTTGGAACATTTTGTAATGAAATTTCAAGCAGTTTTTCCAGGAGAAAACTGATTTTAAATACCTAACAAATATTATAATAGTTTAAAGTACAATTGTAATAACCAAATACTTACATGTTATTTATCTCCAATTTTCAATGAAATAATCTTCATCTTCTGCGACTGAAACTTGGTAAGGCCTGCTACTTTAAGCATCTTGTCCTGGTCTTCGCCAATGGCTCCATTTTCAGGGTCTATGCTGTAAACATCTTCTTCATAGTATCTGAAACAAAAACAAAATTATTTTAGACAGCTGCTGGTAAACTCAAATAAAATATACATATATTCAATAGTGAGCCAAAAAAAACCAAAAACAGTTCAAAAATATCAAACCAAAAAAAAAACTTTTTTCAAAATATAAAGAAAGAAAAAACTGGCATTAATGGCAGCCAACATCATTGGTCAATTGCTCTTTTTGACTATATATCATTAACTATTTTCATTTTAAATCTTTATTTTAATCAGTAATGAAGACGGTTTAATGATATAATCATTATTTTTGAAATTAATGTGTGCGTCAAATTATCACATGTTGGTGGCTTTTCAAAACAATCTGATGTATACACTTGAACAGAAATGATTAAAGTTCAACTTAATTTCAAACAATCTAAATCAGGTCATATTTTCCCAATTTCTTATAGAAAAATGCAGATGAATATGTAAATTTCCAGGGAAAAACTGATTTTAATGACCTAACAAATATGAACATAGTTTTAAGTACAATTGTATAACCAAATACTTACATGCTTCTCATTTCCAATATTCAATGAAACAATCTTCATGTTCTGTGACTGACTGGAACTTGGTAAGGCCTGCTACTGTAATAGAACTAAAATTATAATTAGACTAAAATTAAATATACTTTCCTTTAATTTTCTTGTCCTGGTCTTCGTCAATGGCTCCATTTTCGGGGTCTTTGCTGTAAACATCTTCTTCATAGTATCTGAAACAAAAACAAAATTATTTATAGACAGATGCTGATAGACTCAAATAAAATTTACATATATTCAACAGTGAGCCAAAAAAAAAACCAAAACAGTTCAAAAATATCAAACCAAATATAAAACTTTCAATAAAGTTTGCTTATTTAAAAAATAAAACTTTTTTCAAAATATAAAGAAAGAAAAAACTGGCATTAATGGCAGCCAACATTATTGGTCAATTGCGCTTTTTGACTATATATCATTAACTATTTTCATTTTAAATCTTTATTTTAATCAGTAATGAAGACGGTTTAATGATATAATCATTATTTTCGAAATTAATGTGTGCCTCAAATGATCACAAGTTGGTGGCTATTCAAAACAATCTGATGTATACACTTGAACAGAAATGATTAAAATTCAACTGAATTTCAAACAATTTAAATCAGGTCATATTTTTCCAATTACTTGTAGAAAAATGCAGATGAATATGTAAATTTCCAGGGAAAAACTGATTTTAATGACCTAACAAATATGAACATAGTTTTAAGTACAATTGTATAACCAAATACTTACATGCTTCTCATTTCCAATCTTCAATGAAACAATCCATGTTCTGTGACTGACTGGAACTTGGTAAGGCCTGCTACTGTAATAGAACTAAAATTATAATTAGACTAAAATTAAATATACTTTCCTTTAATTTTCTTGTCCTGGTCTTCGTCAATGGCTCCATTTTCGGGGTCTCTGCTGTAAACATCTTCTTCATAGTATCTGAAACAAAAACAAAATTATTTATAGACAGATGCTGATAAACTCAAATAAAATTTACATATATTCAACAGTGAGCAAAAAAAAAAAAGACAGTTCAAAAATATCAAACCAAATATAAAACTTTTAATAAAGTTTGCTTATTTAAAAAATAAAACTTTTTTCAAAATATTTAGAAAAAAAAACTGGCATTAATGGCACCCGACATCATTGGTCAATTGCTCTTTTTGACTATATATCATTAACTTTTTTCATTTTAAATCTTTATTTTAATCAGTAATGAAGACGGTTTAATGATATAATCATTATTTTCAAAATTAATGTGTGCGTCAAATTATCACAAATTGGTGGCTTTTCAAAACAATCTGATGTATACACTTGAACAGAAATGATTAAAATTCAACTCAATTTCAAACAATCTAAATCAGCTCATATTTTCCCAATTACTTGTAGAAAAATGCAGATGAATATGTAAATTTCCAGGGAAAAACTGATTTAAATGACCTAACAAATATGAACATAGTTTTAAGTACAATTGTATAACCAAATACTTACATGCTTCTCATTTCCAATCTTCAATGAAACAATCTTCATGTTCTGTGACTGACTGGAACTTGGTAAGGCCTGCTACTGTAATAGAACTAAAATTATAATTAGACTAAAATTAAATATACTTTCCTTTAATTTTCTTGTCCTGGTCTTCGTCAATGGCTCCATTTTCGGGGTCTTTGCTGTAAACATCTTCTTCATAGTATCTGAAACAAAAACAAAATTATTTATAGACAGATGCTGATAGACTCAAATAAAAGTTACATATATTCAACAGTGAGCAAAAAAAAAAAAAAGACAGTTCAAAAATATCAAACCAAATATAAAACTTTTAATAAAGTTTGCTTATTTAAAAAATAAAACTTTTTTCAAAATATTTAGAAAGAAAAAACTGGCATTAATGGCAGCCGACATCATTGGTCAATTGCTCTTTTTGACTATATATCATTAACTTTTTTCTTTTTAAATCTTTATTTTAATCAGTAATGAAGACGGTTTAATGATATAATCATTATTTTCAAAATTAATGTGTGCGTCAAATTATCACAAATTGGTGGCTTTTCAAAACAATCTGATGTATACACTTGAACAGAAATGATTAAAATTCAACTGAATTTCAAACAATCTAAATCAGCTCATATTTTTCCAATTACTTGTAGAAAAATGCAGATGAATATGTAAATTTCCAGGGAAAAACTGATTTTAATGACCTAACAAATATGAACATAGTTTTAAGTACAAATGTATAACCAAATACTTACATGCTTCTCATTTCCAATCTTCAATGAAACAATCCATGTTCTGTGACTGACTGGAACTTGGTAAGGCCTGCTACTGTAATAGAACTAAAATTATAATTAGACTAAAATTAAATATACTTTCCTTTAATTTCTTGTCCTGGTCTTCGTCAATGGCTCCATTTTCGGGGTCTTTGCTGTAAACATCTTCTTCATAGTATCTGAAACAAAAACAAAATTATTTATAGACAGATGCTGATAAACTCAAATAAAATTTACATATATTCAACAGTGAGCAAAAAAAAAAAGACAGTTCAAAAATATCAAACCAAATATAAAACTTTTAATAAAGTTTGCTTATTTAAAAAATAAAACTTTTTTCAAAATATTTAGAAAGAAAAAACTGGCATTAATGGCAGCCAACATCATTGGTCAATTGCACTTTTTGACTATATATCATTAACTATTTTCATTTTAAATCTTTATTTTAATCAGTAATGAAGACGGTTTAATGATATAATCATTATTTTCGAAATTAATGTGTGCCTCAAATGATCACAAGTTGGTGGCTATTCAAAACAATCTGATGTATACACTTGAACAGAAATGATTAAAATTCAACTGAATTTCAAACAATTTAAATCAGGTCATATTTTTCCAATTACTTGTAGAAAAATGCAGATGAATATGTAAGTTTCCAGGGAAAAACTGATTTTAATGACCTAACAAATATGAACATAGTTTTAAGTACAATTGTATAACCAAATACTTACATGCTTCTCATTTCCAATATTCAATGAAACAATCTTCATGTTCTGTGACTGACTGGAACTTGGTAAGGCCTGCTACTGTAATAGAACTAAAATTATAATTAGACTAAAATTAAATATACTTTCCTTTAATTTTCTTGTCCTGGTCTTCGTCAATGGCTCCATTTTCGGGGTCTTTGCTGTAAAAATCTTCTTCATAGTATCTGAAACAAAAACAAAATTATTTATAGACAGATGCTGATAAACTCATATAAAATTTACATATATTCAACAGTGAGCAAAAAAAAAAAGACAGTTCAAAAATATCAAACCAAATATAAAACTTTTAATAAAGTT